GTGTGGGCCATGCAAAATGGCCGAGGTTTTAGAATTCAGTTTTCAGGTGCTCAGCCACAGAGTTCTTAAATAAAGGCACAACTGGACAGAGGGAACTTCCACCATTTCCCTTCCCATTTACAGAAGAGAGGTTAAGATTGTGTTATAGTTTAGTATCCCCCCTCAGGACCTATTTCCTGATCATCCAGCAGGCCTTGGGGCCAAGCTTGGGTACAGTAGAAGATGAGAATTTTCTTGGGAAGGCTTTGTGGATCCAGGTGTTTCCAGGGTTGCACTAAAGATGCCAGGGGGGTGGGGGTAGGAGTAGTGTACAGGTGGATCCATCTGGCGTTTTAGTTTGTTTTTTTTGGGGGGGGGGTCCGGTCATGGGGCCTGAACTCTGGGCCTGGGCACTATCCCTCAGCTCTTCAGCTCAGGGCTAGTGCTCTACCACTTGAGCCACAGCGCCACTTCTGGCTTTTTCTCTTTTTGCTTATGTGGTGCTGAGGAATTGAACCCAGGGCCTCATGCATGCAAAGGAAGCGCTCTACCACTGAGCCACCTTCCCAGCCCCCCATTTTAGAAGGTGAAACAGACATACTTAGACAGGAAAAAAAGAAAAACTCGGATCAGGCTTCCAGTTAAGCCAGGTGTCCCTGGGGTAGAAATCCCACATAGGGATGGCCTCCCTTTTCCCTTTTCTACCCTCCACTGCCACCTATGGTCAAGGCCAAGAGAAAGGCTTAAGATCCAGCCCCACTTCAGCCATCCTGCCAGCAGGGGCTGATGGGAAAGAGAGAGGGAGAGAGGAGGGGTGGGTGGGGGAGAGAGGAGGGGTGGGTAAGGAAGAGAGGGAAAGAGAGGGGGGAGGAAGAGAAGGAGAGAGAAAAAGAGGGAGAGAGAGAAGAGAGGGAGAGAGAGAGAAAGAGAGGGAGAGAGAGAGCGAGAGAGAACACCCTCATGGCTAGTGGGGAAAGAGGAAAAGATCAGAAGAGTCAGTTCTCTCAAGGTAGCAAGGCAGTTCAAACAACCACCAGAATCTGGTTGCCTATCTGTGACCTGTAGTTGGCTCACAGTGTCTACCCTCACACCTTTAAACAGAAAGTATCTAGACCAGAAAGTGCAGTGCAAGTCTGCTGCAAAGCTGGATGGTGCAAAGCATGGTCAGAGGTCTCCTTGGAGATCTGGACCCCACAGGAGTACTGGCCAACATCAGGGTCACTTCCAAGGTGCTCTGCTCCATTTAAGCTGATCTCAGTGATCTCAAGATGTCTTTGTGCACCACATGGGCACCAAGATGATGCAAGCATGGGTTCTTGTTTTCTAGACAGTATAGAAATAAGGCCAGGAATAGAAAAACACTTGAGCAAAAGAGAAATTTGGTACAAAAGGAAAAATAAAACTGCCTGGAGCTGGGCATCAGTGGCTCACGCCTGGAATCCTAACTACTCAGGAGGCTGAAGTCTAAGGATCACAGTTCAAAGCCCTCTGGGGCAGGAAAGTCTGTGAGACTCTAATCTCCAATAAACCACTAGAAAACTGGAAATGGTGCCGTGGCTCAAGTGGTAGAGCACTTGCCTTGAGCTGAAGAGCCCAGGGACAGCGCCCAAGCCCCACTATTGACAAAACAAACAAACAAACAAACAAAAAACTGCCTTGGGGCTGGAAAGTTGGCTCATTGGTAGACTGCTTGCCTTGCATGCATGAGACCCTGGATTCAATTCCTCAGCACCACATAAGCAGAAAAATCCGGAAATGGTGCTATGGCTCAAGAGGTAGAGCACTAGCCTAGAGCTGTAGAGCTGAGGGACAGCGCCCAGGCCCAGAGTTCATGACGCAAGACTGACAAAAAAAAACAACAAAAAACAGAAAACAAAAAAACCACTGTCTGGAAAAACGGACAAGGAGCCAGAGCTGGTTATGGGAGGAGGGTCTCCTTTTATCCCCTCCTCAGGAATTGGGGGGCAGGCAGAAAGAGTTGGTTTTTCCTTTCCCAGGAAGGCCAGGAACTTTTGCGCTGGTGGGGGGAAGTCTGGGTGGGTGGGGAGTGGAGGAGATTTCAGGAGTGATGGATGCTGGGGTCCTGGGAGAGGGACCCTAAGATCAGTGAAAGCGATGGGCTGCTGCTATTTATTTATTTACTCATCTATTTTTACTATTAAGGCCACTGCCTGCAGCTGTCTTTCTATCCATCTATTACCTCCATCACAGTCGATGAGGAATAAATACAGGGCTTAGGGTTGTAGCATATGAGAGGCTCTAGGATTCATACCCCAACCCCCCAATAAACAGAGAGGCATCCCTTCTACCTAAAACATGAAAGGGGAATGGCCTTAGAACCACTTCCTCGGACTGCCTTAACCTCCCATCATCTTAGAATTGACAAAAGAGACTGAGTATGTGCTTCTGTATCACTTCTCACTAGCCTGACGACAGACTCGGGAGTCCATCTGTATTCTAGCCTGGGGAGCCAGCCAGGGACTTCCCAGGTAAACAAAGAGGACGCAGGCTTCCATGCCTGGATTTCCCCTCTCTCTGCCTCTGCACTTGTCATAGGAAACTCCTTGTTCCTCTTGGTCTCACGACTCCTGCACAGACCCAGCACGCACGCCAGACACAGCTTGGCTCACACATCCTTCCAGCTGGCCATTCTCAAAGGCTTAGTCTGCCAGAAACTAGTGACGCTGACTTTCACCCACTTGTTATTGGATAGAGAAAACCAAAATAAATAAATAAATAAAATATGTGGTTTACCAAGTGCCAGTGGCTTATGTCTGTAATTCTAGCTACTTAGGAGGCTGAAATCTGAAAGTCATAGTTCAGAGCTAGCCCAGGCAGGAATGTCTATAAGACTCTTATGTCCAATTAACCACCAGAAAACCAGAAATGGTGTTGTGGCTCAAGTGGTAGAGTACTCTCCTTGAGCTAAAGAGGTCAGGGACAGTGCCCAGGTCCAGAATTCAAGCCCCATGACTGACCAAAAACAACAAAAAAAGAAAACAAAAGTGGTTCCTGAGAATGTGTCTTAAAAGCTCATTAAAAAAAATATTGGGGCTGGGAAGGTGGCTCAGTGGTAGAGCACTTGCCTTGCATGCATGAGGCCCTGAGTTCGATTCCTCAGCACCACATAAGCAAAAAAGAAAAAAGCCGGAAGTGGCGCTGTGGCTCAAGTGGTAGAGTGTTAGCCTTGAGCTGAAGAGCTGAGGGACAGTGCCCAGGCCCAGAGTTCAGGCCCCACGACCAGACCCCAAAAAATAAATAAATAAAATATTGCTGGTGATTGTTGATTGCCTGTCTGTTTAATTGATTCTTTCTTTTTCTCTTTTTTGGTTCAAGACTGGAACTGGAACTTGGTATCTGACATGTTCACTCATTGGTTAGCACTATACCAGTAGAGACATGCCTCCAACCCCTGACTGTTTAGTTGAAATCTCCATGAAGTATGACACGCACAAATATTTTGCTTGGTTATAGCTCAGTGTTTGCCTTATTTGGACATGATGTGGTGAGGCCTTTGCCTTATATGGCCATGATCTGTGGCAGCCTATGATGAGCTGAACTTCAGCTGCTATGTTTGCTTGAGATTCAACTATGCATTGGAAGAATATATTCCTTTTGGTTGTTTCTGAGGGGACAGGGACTTTAACTCAGGCTTGCTGGGCTTACTTAGATGGTTAGCGCTTTACCACTTGAACCTTGCCTTCAGATGGCTTTTTGCTGGTTACTTTTGGAGATGAAATCCAGTTGACTTTTCTGTCCTGGCTGACTTCAAACCACAATCCTTGGAATCTCAACCTCTTGAGTAGCTAGGCTTATTGATTTGAGCCATTGGCACCAACAGTGGTGGCCCAGACTTTTAACCCCATTTTCAAGAGGTGGAGGCAGGAGGACCACAAAAGAAAAAGTGGTGATGAGCCAGGTGTTGGTGGCTTACACCTGTATTCTAGCTTCTTGGAATACTGAGGACAGACAATCACAGTTCAAAGTCAGCCTGGGCAGGAAGGTCCAAGAGACTTATCTTCAATTAACCACCAGAAAACTGGAAGTGGAGCTGTGGCTCAAAGTGGTAGAGAGCCACTCTTGATCTAAAGAGCTCAGGGACTGCACCCAGGCCATGGTTCCAACACCATGACTGACAAAGAAAAGAAAAAGTGGTGATGGAATCTTCAAGGTGTGGGGCCTAGTTCAGGCTTGGTGGCATAGGCCTGTTTTCCCAGCTGCTCAGGATAAGGAGGCAGGAGGATCATGATTTGAAGTCAATCTGGGCAAAGGATGAGTAAGAACTTTCTTACTTTCTTTTTTGGCTCTTAGGTTATCCCATGAAAAATACTCCTAGGAAAGTCCTATAGTTACAATCCAGGCAGGCTACGGAAACTCAGGGATTGCCAGATTTGCCTGAAATCTTTGATCCAGACAGATTAAATCTCTTCCTCAGAGAATCTAATTCGCACTCTTCAAACTACATCCAATAAAACCTTTATCCAAGGGGCTGGGAAGGTGGCTCAGTGGTACAGTGCTTGCCTTGCATGCATGAGGCCTGGGTTTGATTCCTCAGGACCACATACACAGAAAAAGCTGGAAGTGGGTGCAATGGCTCAAGTGATAGAGCACTAGCCTTGAGCTGAAGAGCTCAGAACAGTGCCTAGGCCCAGAGTTCAAGCTCCACAACCAGCAAAAAAAAAAAACAAAAAAACCTTTATTCAAGTCAAATTTCCCCATTACCTTCCTTCCACCCAACTCCATCCCACAGTTAGAGAATAACCCAGACCTGAATCAACATTCTCATACCCTCCTACAGAACCTTCACCAACTACATCCATAACTCAGCTTCAGATAACACCTTCATAAAACATTCATCATAGGTGGCCTAGTCCCAAAAAACTTCCAGCAGAAAGAACTGCCTTCCAGCTCTGAAATATAGCAGAATTTGTTGATCACAGGATATTTGGGGGAAAGCAGTGAAGAGGAAGAGAAATGCAGTGAAGGATCATTTCCACGCCAGAACAACCAAACTGCCAGGATGAATTCATTACCTCCTGTTTATTGGGAACTTTACTAAGGGCTTTGTGCTTTAAGATCACAAGTAAAGCTTTAAGGGGTCTTCAATAAAGTCAGTCAGTGGGGCAGAGAGCATAGGGATTGAAAAGGAGAGTTGAAATTGGAGCTTGTGGGGCTGTTAGTATCCGGATCTGTCAAGTCTTCTTCCTTTCAGAAATGCTGTTATCTGCAGCAAAACACACACAGTTCTGTCATCACTGGGTTCAAGACTGTAAGCTCAGACTCTCCATTCCCTTTATACCCCACCCCCATTTCTTGGTCCTGTCCATGTCCCAAGGAGATCATCACCCCTGTACATGCCCAAGTCCATAGTAGCAGGAATCAAGACGTGTCTTAGCCAGGCACTGGTGGCTCAAGCCTGTAATCCTTGCTGAGATTTGGGGGTCATGGTTCAAAGCCAGGGTGGGCAGGAAAATCCATAAGACTCTTATCTCCAACAAACCACCAGAAAACTGGAAGTGGTCTGTGGCTCATGTGGTAGAGGGTTTGTCTTGAGCTGAAGAGCTGAGGGACAGTGCCCAGGCACACACACACACACACACACACACACACACACACACACACACACACACACAGAGTCACAGTCCCGGCCAGCCTGGGAAAAGGGAGTGGGGGGGGGACTCAAGACCCTAGCCCACAAGTTACCAAAGCAAGAGGGACTGTGTGGTTACTGATGTGCATCTCTGTGCTTGTAACCCCAGATCAATGCACATGGATGGAAGTGTTCCTTCTTACTTGTTGCACCACAGACACAAAGCTCTCTCCCCTTTTCCTCTGACTGCATCCCAAGATCTCCAGCTGGGCAACAACTTACAGGAGTCCCTGGTTTCTGGGGTTGTGTGTGGAGGAGCGCAGGGCCCCTATGATGAAGACAGTGCCAATGATGATGCCCACCAGGCCGACCATCAGCCCCAGGGCGCAGACCACATTCTCCGTGGTCTCGGTCACCTGCACGGACTCCTGGGCCTCTGCAAGAGAATGAAGGTTTAGGGTCACATGGAGCCATGGGGAACGGGGCTGCCCTGGAGGCTGAAGCTAACACACCAGGGCATGACACGCTGGGCATGGCGCGTTAGGATGAGGAGAGGGAGGAGCAGGTGCAGGAGGCGCTGGGGGTGAAGAGGGAAAAAGGCTCCATACCCCAGTGACTGAGGGTCGGCGCGTCCAGCCCCCAGTGCTCCACCTTGCAGTCGTAGAAGTCCTCCATGGAGGGAAGGAAGGTCAGGTAATAAAATTTGTGGTAAGTGTAATCTTTATTGGGCTGGAAGACGCCCTCGGAGATACCCTCGGTGACCGGCAGCCCATTGCGCAGCCATGTCACGTTGAGCGCCGGCGGGAAGAACTTGTCCACGTAGCAGATGAGGATGTTGGGCTGGCCCGGCTCCACGGGCTCCTGGGTGAACACGGTCACCTCAGGAGGCTCTGAGAGGAGACAGAACCCGGTAAGGCCCCTGCTCTGGGATGAACCCCAAAGGCTCTCCCTTGGCCGGGGTGGGGATATGGTCACTTTGGGTTGCTGGGTCAGCACCAGGAGTCTCACTCCATTTATCAGCTTCACCTCAACCTCCATCTTTATTTTGTCCAAGTTGGGACTGAAACTCAGCACCTGACACTTTCACTCACTGGATGGTGTTCTAACCACTGAGTCACGCCTCCCACACCTCAAACCTCCCTCCTGAGCAAGGAAGGGAGGGAATGTAAACCCTCTACTGGGCTTAGCAAAAGGGCATCTAGGTCTCCCAATCTGTGTGAGGCAGAGCCCTCCTCCTCTTCCTCCCAGCCAGGGGGCACAAGAAGAAGGCAGACATAGACAGTACCGCTGGGTTCCTGGGTGTGGTTAGAACGCCGAATCAGAATATCCAAGTTTGACTTCATTATAGCCATATTGGTCAGCCCGCCCTGAGCATCAAAGGAAAAGGCTCGACCAAACTCTGGCAGATGCCAAATCGTCTCCTTCTTGTCCAGATCCACATAGAACATCTCATCCTCATCAAGCTCAAACATATACTCCCCTGTCGGTCTCTGTGTCTGTGCAAACATGGCATAAATTGATACATGGTCCGCTATATAAAAACAATAGAAGAAAAATAGGCACAAATTAAAAATGAATATATAAGCCGAGCACTGGTGGTCATGCCTATAATCCTAGCTACTAAGGAGGCTGAGATCTAAGGATCACCATTCAAAGCCTGCCTGGGCAGGATCATCTGTGAGATTCTGATCTCCAATAAACCACCAGAAAACCGGAAGTGGCTCTGTGGCTCAAGTGGTGGAGCACTCGCCTTGAGCTAAAGAGCTGAGGGACAGCGCCCAGGCCCAGAGATCAAGCCCCACGACCCAAAAAATGTCTATCTATATCTATCTGTCTGTCTGTCTATCTATCTACCTATCTGTCTGTCTATCTATCTATCTATATCTACCTGTCTATCTCTATATATCTATCTATGTGGTAAAGGTTTGAGAATGAATATAAACTTTTTTTTTCTGCAGTCATGAAGCTTGAACTCAGGGCCTGGGCACTGTCCCTGAGCTTTTGTACTGAAGTCTAGCACGCTACCACTTTGAGCCACAGCTCCACTTTTGGTTTTTAGGTGTTTAATTGGAAATAAGAGTCTCACAAGGAATTTCCTGCCTGGGCTGTCTTTGAACCACAAACCTCAGACTCTCAGCTTCCTGAGTAGCTAGGTTTATAGATGTGAGCCACCCACACTAGCTCCAATACAGATTTATTTATATACAAAGTCAGAAGGAAGAGGGCAAAGGAAGGGCATATGGGAGAAAAAAGAAGTCTGCCAAAAAGCAGACAGCAGTTAGAAAAGGAATGAAAAACAAACTGAGAAGCAACTCCATGAGAAATCTAGCTGATTCCCAGTCATTCATTCAAAGTCTGAATCACAACAGTGAGAAGGAACATTTGTGAAGCCCGTGTGCCAGGCACCATTCTAGTACTTTATATATTTCACTCATTTATAACAACAAGCCTATGAAATAAATATAGAAAGTGATATTTTACAAGTAAGGAAATGCAGAGTGGTTAAGTAACTTGCTTATGGTCACACAGTAATGTGCAACTTGCCGAGTATTTTTGTTTTTTGCTTTTTGTTTTGGTTGGTTGGGGGGCTTAAACTCTAGGCCTGGGCACTGTCTCTCAGCAATTCAGCTAAAGGCTAGCGCTCTACCACTTGAGCCACAGCACCACTTCCGGTTTTCTGGTGGTTTACTGGAGGTAAAAGTCTCATGGACGATCCTGCCCGGGCTGGTTTTGAACCAGGATCCTTCGATCTCAGCCTCCTAAGTAGCTTGGATTACAGGTAAGAGCCACCAGCACCTGGATACTTGTAGAGATTTTTATCTCCCAGAAGTTCTCAGTTCTGAATGGTTTTTAGAAGCCAGGCAGTAATGGTTCATAACCGTAATCCTACCTACTCTGAAGGCTGAGCTCTGAGACTACATTCAAAGCCAGCTCAGGCAGAAAAATCTGTGACTCTTTATCTCCAGTATACCAACAAAAAGTCAGGAGTGGAGCTGTGGCTCAAGTGATAGATACAAGCCTTGAGTGAAGAAAGTTAAAGGACAGTACCCAGGCCCTGAGTTCAAGCACCAGTACCAGAAAAAAAAAAGTTTTTAGAATCAGAAAAGGACCAAGAATATTACCTTTCTCTGTCTCTTTTTCTCTCTTTGTTTTTTCTCTCATTTGCATTCTTTCTTTCTTACTTTTCTCTTTCTTTCCATCTTTCTTTTTCTTTCTTTCTGTGTGTATATATTGGAGCTTGAACTCAGGGCCTTATGCTCTTACTTGGCTTTTTTTTTTTTTTTGTCGGTCGTGGGGCTTGAACTCTGGGCCTGGGCGCTGTCCCTCAGCTCTTCAGCTCAAGGCGAGCGCTCTACCACTTGAGCTACAGCGCCACTTCCGGTTTTCTGGTGGTTTATTGGAGATAGGAGTCTCACGGTCTCTCCTGCCCGGGCTGGCTTTGAACCTCGATCCTCAGATCTCAGTCTCCTGAGTAGCTAGGATTACAGGCGTGAGCCACCAGCGCCCGGCATTTGGCTTTTTTTTTTGTCAGTCATGGGGCTTGAACTCTGGGCCTGGGCGCTGTCTCTCAGCTCTTCAGCTCAAAGCTAGTGCTCTACCACTTGAGCCACAGCGCCAGCCAGCCAGCCTAGGAAGAAAAGCCTTCAAGACTCTGTCACCCATTAGCTAACAAAAAACTGAGCTGGACACATGGCTCAAGAGGTAGAGCATGGGCTGAGCAAGAAAGCTGAGAGAGTGGGAAGACTTGAGTTCAAACCTCATACTACAAAAATAAATCATTCAGACAAAATCAACATTAATATTCACATTGTGAATAACTTTGGAGAAAATCTTTCTGAGCTTCAGTGTTTTCTTTTCTTTTCTTTTTTTCCTTTTTTTTTTTTTGTTGTTGTTGGTGGTGGTGGTCATGGGGCCTGAACTCTGGACCTCAGCTCTTCAGTTCAAGGCTAACACTCTACCACTTGAGCACTACTTCCAGTTTTCTGGTGGTTAACTGGAGAGAAGAGTCTCATGGACTTTCCTGCCAGGGCTGGCTTTGAACTGGATCCTCAGATCTCAGCCTCCTGAGTAGCTAGGATTACAGGCATGAGCCACCAGAGCCCGGCTCAGCTTCAATGTTTTCATCTCTAAATGGAAATAATTATATCTCCCTGGGACTTTTTTTTTTATGCCAGTCCTGGGGCTTGATCAGAGTCTAAGGACTGTCCCTCAATCAGCCCTCAGTTTTGAGTTTTAGCTCAAAAGTAGCACTCTAACCACTTGAGCCACAGCTCCATTTCCAGCTTTTGATAGTAATTAGTTTCCAGACTTTCTGGCCAGGCTGCCTTTTGAACCACAATCCTCAGACCTCAGCCTGCTGAGTAGCTAGAATAACAGATGTGAGCCACCAGTACCTGATTTCCTGGAACATTTTTGTGAGATGTAAATCAGTTAAGAAACTAAGTAGGGGGCTGGCGAAGGTGGCTCAGTGGTAGAGTGCTTGCCTTGCATGCTTGAGGCCCTGGGTTCGATTCCTCAGCACCACATAAGCAAAAAGAAAAAAAAGCCGGAAGTGGTGCTGTGGCTCAAGTGGTAGAGCGCTAGCCTTGAGCTGAAGAGCTGAGGGACAGCGCCCAGGCCCAGAGTTCAGGCCCCACGACTGGGACCCCAAAAAAAAAGAAAACTAAGTAGGTATCTTCTAAGCTGTGACTAATGCTACTGTTTAACTCTATTAGAGTAAGAAGAAATGAAAGTAACTTTTACATAAAGGGGGAAAATGAAGGGAAAATCATAGATTAAAACAGATCTGGTGAGTTCTTAAAGCCTCTAATTCCTAAAGCAATAACCTGGCTGTCTGTCCCCTCCTCTCACCCAGCTCTGTGGCAACGCTCCTCACACTCACCCTTGATGGCACCAGCTCCTTGCACACTCAGCAGGAAAGCCAAGCAGAGAGCTCTCAGGATCCCAGCTTTAGTCTGGAACATTTTCTCTTTAGGGCGCAGGAGAGGGGTCTGTAATTGATGGCTGTCAGCGCAGGAACAGAGCTGAGGAACTGGGGTAGGAAAGGGACAGACAACTCTGAAAATCTCCCCTTTGATAGCCTGAAAATAGCTTTAAAAAAAAAAAAAAGGTAGAGAGGAATTAGCATAGCTAGATTTAAGCCAATCAGAGAAATAACAGAGTTGACGCTCTCTGTTGCTGGGAAAGAGAACGCTGGAAGGAGCGTTTCCAGGAGCTCCAATCCACAGGACCTTTTCAGTTAGAAAAAGAGATCCGAAAAGAAATGTTTGTTTCATTCAGTTACCTGGGAGGATAAGTCTTACCACATCCCCTCATTCACTTTCATCAGATTTTTCATTCACTATTTTTCCCCCTGAAAAGTGGTAGTTGTTTTTTGTTTGTTTTTGTTGTTTTGTTTTGTTTGCCAATCCTGGGCTTATGGCTTGAACTCAGGGCCTGGGCGCTGTCCCTTGAGCTTCTTTTGCTCAAGGCTAGCACTCTATCACTTGAGCCACAGCACCACTTGGGCCTTTTTTTTTTTTGGTCCGGTCGTGGGGCCTGAACTCTGGGCCTGGGCGCTGTCCCCTCAGCTCTTCAGCTCAAGGCTAGTGCTCTACTACTTGAGCCACAGCACCACTTCCGGCTTTTTTCTTTTTGCTTATGTGGTGCTGAGGAATTGAACCCAGGGCCTTGAGCATGCAAGGCAAGGTTGCTCTACCACTGAGCCACCTTCCCAGCCCATCCACTTGGGCCTTTTACTGTTTAAAGTGGTACTGAGGAATTGAACCCAGGGCTTCATGCATGCTAGGCAAACAATCTACCACTAAGCCACATTCCCAGCCCCATCTGTTCTCATTCTTAATAGCTGCCTTATGCTATATAATTGTTTTCTTCTCTGTGTGGTAACATGTCATTAATATCTGTCTATCTATCTATCTACACATATGTTCCACTGAAATTTCATTACTTATCTAGCTGGTTAAAATAAATATCACTCTCTTGCCTCTACCATGTTTTTTGTTTGTTTGTTTGTTTGTTTTTTGTTTTGGTCGGTCATTGGGGCTTGAAGTCTGAGCCTGGGCATTGTCCCTGAGCTCTTCAGTTCAAGGCTAGCACTCTCACCTGAGCTACAGAGCCACTTCTGGTTTTCTGGTGGGTAATTGGAGATAAGGTCTCAAGGACTTTTCCTGCCCAGATGGCTTTTGAACCATGATCCTCAGATCTCAGCCTCCGGAGTGGCTAGGATTCCAGGCATGAGCCATTGGCGCAATCATATACTAAGTGCATCATACACTACTAATTTGTCAGACCTCTCACACTGACTGCCTGCCTAGTGAGTAGTGACTCATACAAAACTCTCTGCCCATTGGTTCACTTCTCGGGGCCTGTCCAATCCTAGAGTCACAAGAGACTACTTTGGTCATGATCTCTGTTATTTCACACAGAATCTCCATTTACCAAGTTCATTCCCTGGCTGCCACTTTCTCCAGCTGAGTAGCCTTTCCACCTCCAGAATGATCCTTCAAGTCCCCAAGGTTGCCTGGCCAATCACTCTGATGGTGTTTCTGGTGATGTGGTGCAGCTCCATGGCCCAGAGCAGGGGCAACTCCAGGTGAGAGCAGAGTGGCTGTTGCGGGGTCTGGGGGTCTGGGGGGCCTGGGGGGTCTGGGGGTCTGGGGGGGTTCTGGGGGCCTGGGGGGTCTGGGGGTCCTGGGGGGTCTGGGGGGTCTGGGGGGTCTGGGGGGCCTGGGGGTCTGGGGGTCTGGGGGGTCCTGGGGCCTGGGGGGCCTGGGGGGTCTGGGGGCCTGGGGGTCTGGGGGGCCTGGGGGCTGGGTCGCTGGGGGTCTGGGGTCTGGGGGCCTGAGGGTCTGGGGGGTACCTGGGGGTCCTGGGGGTCTGGGGGTCTGGGGGCCCTGGGGGTCTGGGGGTCTGGGGGCCGGCTCAGGGAGCCTTCTCATCGAGGGAAACAGACTTTGAGAAAGGATCGTGGGGTCCTGTATAGCTCTTTGCCCTTTGTTCCCAGGTACAGAGTCAGATTCACTTCTTGTTTGCTATCTAGCCAATCTGTTCTCTTCTCCAGGATGTAGACACAGAGAGGAGAGGAGAGGTACAGGGGACCAGGGCAGGGTATGCTTGTATCTTATGAATAATAAGCTAAGAGGTTTTGTTGTTGTTGTTATTGTTGTTGTTGTGGGGCTTGAACTCAGGGCCTGGGTGCTGTCCCCCCAGCTCTTCAGCTCTACCACTTGAGCCATAGAGCCACTTCTGGGTGGGATAATTGGAGATCAGAGTTTCACAGACTTTCTTGCCCAGGCTGGCTTTGAACCGTGATCCTCAGATCTCAGCCTCCTGAGTAGCTAGGATTAAAGCTGAGAGGTTTAGAAAGACCTTGGGGAACAAAATTACAAAAGAGAGCAACAGAGAGGAGAGTGAAGAAAGACAGACATACAGGGAGAGAGACAGAGAAACAGAGACAGAGATCAGCAGGGTTAGCATTCTGAGTTTCATCGCATCTGTATCACAACCTTGAGACTTGGATCACTCTGCAGACTCAATGCTCAGGGAGTGTGACTCCTGATCCCTAGAACAGACAGGAGCCCTCAGACTTAGAGCAAGGGTTAAGACAGGCTGTGGTCCTACTCTGAAAGCATTCTTGTTGAGAGTGATTCAGCCTTCCCAGAACTTCACTAAAATCTTAGAACAAAATTGTGTGTGTGTGTGTGTGTGTGTGTGTGTGTGTGTGTGTGTGTGTATCACTGTCTTGGGCTCTTGTGCTCAAGGCTAGCATTCTATCACTTTGAGCCACAGATCCACTTCCAACTTTTTAATAGTTAATTGGAGATAAGAGTCTTGTTGACTTTACTACCCAGACTGACTTTGAAGAACCTCAGATCTCCTGAGTAACTAGAATTACAGTCGTGAGCCACCAGCACCTGGTCAAAATGAGATTTGTAGGAAGAATGAGATGAAGATGTGCAGGTATGTGTGGAAAGGTCAGACAGCCCTGGAAGAAGTAATTGGGGAAAGAGCACCTTCTTTGTGCTGCCCCCACATGGTGAGTGTTAAATCACAACTTCTGAAACCCAATACTTCTCTGTCAGGATGCTTTTTAACTGTCTAATGCAAATGTACACCCAACGTCAGAGGAGGAAGACTAGCAAGTAACTCTCTTAGTTAACCATGCTTTCATCTTTGCTTCATAGATACGTCTTCTTTTAGATGGCACCACACTCCTTATAGGATATTACTAGGGCAAACTGTCTTTTCCCTCCTCATTAACAATTTAAACCTCCTGAATCAAGTCCCTCAAACCCCAGGGACCCTCTCCTATTTTGTCAGATCCACTCACTGAGAAGGGAGGAAAAATTTGCCCTTGGTCAACAGGGTGCTGAGAACCAACTAGCAGGATAGCTCAGCACCAGTGGCTCATGCCTGTAATACAAGATACTCAGGAGGCTGAGATCTGAGAATTACAGTTCAAAGCCAGCCCAGGCAGAAAAGTTTGTGAGACTCTTGTTTTTTGTTGGTCATGGGGCTTGCACTCTGGGCCTGGGCGCTGTCCCTCAGCTCTTCAGCTCAAGGCTAGCACTCTACCACTTGAGCCACAGCACCACTTCAGGTTTTCTGGTGGTTTATTGGAGATAAGAGTCTCACAGTCTTTCCTACTCAGGCTGGCTTTGAACCTCGATTCTCGGATCTCAGCTTCCTGAGTAGCTAGGATTAGAGGTGTAAGCTACCAGCACCCAGCTGTGAGACTGTTATCTCCGAGAAACTACTCAGCAAAAGCCAGAAGTAGTACTGTGGCTCAAGTGGTAGAGCACTGGCTTTGAGTAAAAGAAGCTCAGGGACAGTGCCCAGGCAAGCCCCAGGACAAGAAAGAAAGAAAGAAAGAAAGAAAGAAAGAAAGAAAGAAAGAAAGAAAGAAAGAAAGAGAGAGAGAGAGAGAGAGAGAGAGAGAGAGAGGGAGGGAGGGAGGGAGGGAAAGAGAGAGAGAGAAAGAAAGAAAGAGAGAGAGAAGGAAGGAAGGAGGGAAGGAAGGAAGGAGGGCAGGAAGGAAGGAAGGAAGGAGGGAGGGAGGGAGGGAGGGAGGCAGGGAGGGAGGGAGGGAGGGAGGATGGAAGTTGATGTACAGAGGATCATCCCTTTGCACCTAGAAATTCCAGGCTTATTTTCTGGGAACGGCTCCCCAGTTCTGTAGCTAGAGCAGGCAGTGGTTTTCATCGATGGCTCTGGGCTCCAAGTGTGTGGCTTTAAACTTTCCCCGTTTCCTCTTCGTCATGGTGCGGAACTGGTGAGCACCCTATTTCAATGCACACAGCCCACTACCCGCTACAGGACACGTGTTCTCTGGGGCTGCGTGGGTGATGGGATCTGGCATTCAAACAACTTATATCATTTAGGTGGGCTTTGTTTGCTTGTTTTCTGTTTGTTTTTGAGGTAGGATCTGACGTTATAGACCAAACTGGCCTCAAAGGTTGAATCTGTCTTAGCAACCAGAGTTCAGAACTCACAGGCAATTACCAGGCTTGATATCCTTTTTAATAAAGTGACCAATTACTATTTTTTAAATACTTTTTTTTTTGGTGCCAGTACTGAGGCTTGGACTCAGGGCCTAGCACTCTCCCTTTTTGCTAATGGCTAGCACTCGACCACCTGAATCATACCTCAAGCCCTACTTCTTGCTGGTTATTTTGGAGATTAAGTCTCTTGGACTTTTCTACCTAGATTAGCTTTAAATAGTGATCCTCTGATCTCAGCCTCCTGAATAGCTAGGATTACAAGAGTGAGACTTCAGGACCTGGCTTTAAAACACATCTAATACAGCCAGGTGCTGGTGGCTCATGCCTGTAATACTAGCTACTCAAGAGGTTGAGATCTGAGGATCCTGGTTCAAAGCCAGCCCAGGCAGGAAAGTCCATGAGACTCTTATCTCCAATTAACCACCAGAAAATTAGAATTGGAGCTGTGTGGTTCAAGCTGGTAGAACACTAGCCTTGAGCAAAAAGAATGCAGGCCCTGAGTTCAAGCCTTGTGACCAACAACAAAACACACACATATACCCCACCACCACCACCATCACCATCATCACCACCACAATAGGTTACCTTGAGATGTTAATTTGTAGAAGATGAAGCATATGCAGAACAATCACATTGCCTTAATTTCCCCCCAACCAGAGCAAGCCCCAAAAGATTCAGGAGCAGACAGAAACATGCAAAATCAGTGTTTCTTCTCTGTACATATGCATTTATTAGACACTGCAAATGAGAGAGACCACAGTTTCTTCATAAAAAATTCCATTCATCAGCCAGGCACTGGTGGCTCACGCCTGTAATACTAGCTATTCAGGAGGCTGAGATCTGAGGATCATGGTTCAAAGCCAGCCCGGGCAGGAAAGTCCATGAGACTCTTATCTCCAATAAACCACTAGAAAACTGGAAGTGGCGCTGTGGCTCAAGCGGTAGAGCGCTCGCCTTGAGCTGAAGAGCGCAGGGACAGCGCCCAGGCCGAGTTCAAGCCCCATGACCGACCCCCCCCCCCCAAAAAAAAAAATTCCCTTCATCATGCCTCTAGGAACAATGGAAGTCCAGCCTCATTACTATGGTAATTTTCATTGATCAAGGTATATTCCACACCTTTCAAGCTTGAGACTTTCCTCGCACACGTTTGGAAAACATTTTATCATAATAATTACTATTCTTTCTATTATTTGCAGTGCAGGGAATGGAACCCAGGGCCTAACTGTACTAGGCAAGTGCTCCAGCAATGAACTGCACTCTCAGCTTACAGCCATGGAAAGGGAAAAGATACATTTTCAAGCTAGGAATTCTATCTTTCTTTTTCCTCTTGGTGGTGCTGGAGTTTGAACTCAGGGATTTCTGATTGCTAAGCAGGCGCTCTATTTCCACTTCTTTGCCTTGTTTTGTTTTGTTTTCGATAGATTCTTAAGTTTTTCCCACAGGCTTACTAACTGAGATCTTCCTGTCTCTACCTCCTATCTGGGAGGATAGTTAAGCTAGGCTTTTTTTTTTTGGCCAGTCCTGGGGCTTGCACTCAGGGCCTGGCACTGTCCCTGAACTTCTTTTGCTCAAGGCTAGCTAGCACTCTACCTCTATAGACACAGCACTCTACCACTAAGCCACATTCCTAGCCCAAAAAGAAAATTCATTCTTTTGTTCTTTGGCAAGTCTGGGATTTGAATTCAGGGCCTTGTACTTACTCTGCAAGTGTTCTACTACTTGAGCCACAACCCCAGCTAGGCTTTTTTTTTTGCTGGTTGTGGGGCTTAAACTCTGGGCCTGGGCGCTGTCCCTCAGCTCTTCAGCTTAAGGCTAGTGCTCTACCACTTGAGCCACAGCGCCACTTCCAGCTTTTTCTGCTTATGTGGTACTAAGGAATGGAACCCAGGACCTCATGCATACAGGGTAAGCACTCTACCACTGCCACCTTCCCAACCCCCCTTTTTTGGTTGAGATGAGGTCTCTATAACTTTTTCCATGGGCTAGCCTTGAACCTCAATCCTTCTGATCTTCCTTTCCCTAAGTAACTGTGATTACAGGCTTGAGCTACCACACTTGGCCTAGAAAGACTTTCTTTATACCAAACTTGAATAAGTTTTAGAAAATAGCCCCATTTCCAGTATGCAAAACAAGAGCACATGAGGTATGTTCAGGATACTGTCACAGAAGGCAGAACATGAAGTGTGGGAAAGAGAGGCCACAGCGCGGCTTCATGGAGGGGTGATGTTGGCTCCAAGACTGGCAGAGTGAGGCGCACCCCCTGGCACCGGCGGCAGCTCAGTTCTGCTTTCCCCAGCTCCTCCGGGGCCAGCAGTCTCTCTGCCCCAGGGACTTAGCCCGCTGCCAGGATTCTGCCCCTCCCTGTGACACCCTCCCACACCCCCGCCCCCCATAACCACTCCTCTCGGTACTGGCAAAATTCTCAGCGTGCCTGCCCTATTCCATAGACCACTGAGTCACCCCAGCATTTAGTCATATTACATGCGCTGATGAGAAAATGAAGGTCCAGAAAGATTTGGTAACTTGCGTGACATCACAAAGCTCACTATTAGAAAAATCGGTATTTTAGGGCTGGGAAGGTGGCTCAGTGGTTGAGCGCTTGCCTTGCATGCCTGAGGCCCTGGGTTTGATTCCCCAGCACCACATAAGCAAAAAGAAAAAAAAAGCTGGAAGTGGCGCTGTGGCTCAAGTGGTAGAGCGCTAGCCTTGAGCTGAAGAGCTGAGGGACAGTGCCCAGGCCCAGAGTTCAGGCCCCACGACAGGACCCCCCCCCCCCCCAAAAAAAATCGGTTTTTAAAGTTAGGTGCCCATGGTTCATGCCTGTAATCGTAGCTACTCGGGATCAATGTTCAAAGCCAGCCCAGATAGGAAAGTTTTTAAGACTCTTATCTCCAATTAATCAGCAAAAACACAAAACAAACAAACCAGAAGTGGAGCTGTGGCTCCAGTGGCAGAGCATTAGCCTTGAGTGGAAAACTAAGAGAAAGCCTCTAGGCCCTGAGTTCCAGCCCCAGGATAGGCAATAGATAGATGAGTAGATGACAGACAGACAGACAGATAGATAGATAGAAAAATAAAGTACAGCCGGGCGCTGGTAGCTCACGCCTGTAATCCTAGCTACTCAGGAGGCTGAGATCTGAGGATCGCGGTTCAAAGCCAGCCCGGACAGGAGAGACCGTGAGACTCCTATCTCCAATAAACCGCCAGAAAACCGGAAGTGGCGCTGTAGCTCAAGTGGTAGAGCGCTCGCCTTGAGCTGAAGAGCTGAGGGACAGCGCCCAGGCCCAGAGTTCAAGCCCCACGACCGACAAAAAAAAAAAGAAAAGAAAAATAAAGTACATAAATAAAATATAGATGAATAGAGGGTATCTTAAACTTTCACCTCAGGGGGCTGGGAAGGTGGCTCAGTGGTAGCGTGCTCACCTTGCATGCATGAGGCCCTGGGTTCGATTCCTCAGCACCACATAAGCAAAAGGAAAAAAGCCGGAAGTGGTGCTGTGGCTCAAGTGGTAGAGCGCTAGCCTTGAGCTGAAGAGCTGAGGGACAGCACCCAGGCCCAGAGTTCAGGCCCCACGACCAGACCCAAAAACAAAACAGAAAAACAAGGATTCTAGTGGAACGGATACTGCCTGGCACGTTAGTCATTAACGTATGGGGCGGGTGTGTGTGGGGGGGTGTCCACGTTACTGGGCCGGGTCACACAGCAATGGGTGACATCAGGTGAAGGCCACGGGCGCCCCCGGTTGGGCCAGGGCAGGAGCTGGGGGCGGAGTTTGGGGCGGGGCTGGGCGGGGTGCGGGTCCGGTGTCGGTGTCAGGCTCACCCTCCCGCCCTCCCCGCAGAGAATTACGTGTTCCTGTCACTGGACGAGTGCTACGCGTTGAACGGGACGCAGCGCTATGTGGAGAGAAACATCTACAACCGGGAGGAGTACGTGCGCTTCGACAGCGAGGTCGGGGAGTACCGCGCCGTGACCGAGCTGGGGCGGCCCGACGCCGAGTACTGGAACAGCCAGCAGGACTACCTGGAGCAGAAGCGGGCAGAGGTGGACACCATGTGCCGACACAACTACGAGCTGGACGAGGGCTTCACCCTGAAGCGCCGGGGTGAGCGCGGCGGGGTCCGCGGCCCCCAAGGCCATGGAGCGGGAGGGGACGTGGGGGCCGGGTGGGCGCGGGGTGGCCGCTCGGGAGCCGTCGGGGGCGTGGAGGGAGGGCGGGGTGGAAGAGACGGCGGCGGGGCCGGGGCGCCAGGCCGACCAGCCGGCTCCGTCCCGGTGGAGAGCTTGAGGCCGCGCGTGGGTCTAGACGTCGTTGTTAATCTGCGCATGCGTGTGCACGTGTATGCGTGTGTGTCGGTACTGGGACTCGAACTCAGGGCCTGGCACTGAGGTTTTTCACTCAGGACTGGCGCTCTACCACTTGAGCCAGAGCTCCACTTCCAGCTTTTTTTTTTTAAGGTTAATGGTAAATAAGAGTCTCATGAACTCTCCTGCCCTGACAGGCTTTCAACTGTTGTGATCCTCAGATCTCAGCCTCCTGAGTAACTAGGAGTACAGGTGTGAGCCGCCAACACCGGACTTGCTTTTGTTGTTAGAGGTTTATTTTTGTTTGTTTTTATTTGTTTTGCTTTTGGGGGGCGAGTAGTGCTAGAGTTTGAACTCAGGATCTCTACCCTTTGAACCAGGCTTCCAGCCCTAGCTGATATAGAAGGGTTGGGAGCTGGGAGCAGGGTCTGGGCTGGAGGAAGTAATCTAGGGAGGCTCACCCAGTGAGAAGGAAGGCGGGCGTGTGACATACGGCCTGAGAACAAAGCCTGTGGAGGAGAAAGTGCAAGGCCCGTGTGAAGAATTAGGAGGCCAGCCCCCGCGCCTGTGATCCTAGCTATTCAGGAGGCTGAGATTGGAGGATTGTGGTTCAATGCCAGCCTAGGCAGGAAAGTCCATGGTAGTCTTTTTTTGTTTTTGTCGGTCGTGGGGCTTGAACTCTGGGTCTGGACCCTGTCCCTCAGCTCTTCAGCTCAAGGCGAGCGCTCTACCACTTGAGCCATAGTGCCACTTCCAGTTTCTGGTGGTTAATTGGAGGTAAGAGTCTCATGGACTTCCCTGCCCAGGCTGGCTTTGAACCGCGATTCTCCGATCTCAGGCTCCTGAGTAGCTAGGATTACAGGCATGAGCCACTGGTGCCTGGCAAAGTCCATGATACTCTTATCTCCAATAAACCACCAGAAAGCTGGAAGTGGTATTATGGCTCAAGTGGTAGATAACTTGCCTTGAGCTGAAGAGCTCAGGGACGGCACCTAGGCCCCAAGTTCAAGCCCCACAACTGACCCCCCCCCCAAAAAAAAATCTGCTAGATAAGCCATATAGTGTTGCTTTTGTCTTGTTCCTAATTTTCCTAATCTTAACTATGTAATTAAGGATTGTGTATATTTCAAGGTCTTTTCGGGATCACCTGCAACCTAGTTATGACATTTATGTCTTAAAGACCTAGGAAATCTCTCCTTAATGAAAACACTTGAGAAATAATCATCTTAGTGTCACTTCTTTTTCCGTCCCACTTCTAGTCCAGCCTAAAGTACACGTGTCACCCTCCAAAAAGGGCTCCCTAGAGCACCACAACATGCTTGTCTGCCGCGTGACAGATTTCTACCCAGGCAACATTGAAATCAAATGGTTCCGCAATGGCCAGGAGGAGAAGGATGGGGTGGTGTCCACAAGCCTGGTACACAATGGAGACTGGACCTTCCAGATCATGGTGATGCTGGAGATGACCCCCCAACAGGGGGACGTCTACACCTGCCACGTGGAGCACCCCAGCCTGGACGGTCCTGTCACCGTGGAGTGGAGTAAGTTAACGCCTAACTGTTCTATAGACCACATCTCTCTCTTTTTTGCCAGTCCCGGGGCTTGAACTCAGGGCCTGGGCACTGTCCCTGAGCTTCTTTTGCTCAAGGCTAGCACTCTACCCATTAAGCCACAGCACTGGTTCTGGCTTTTTCTGTATATGTGATAATGAAAAATCAAGCCCAGGGCTGCATGCATGCTAAGCAAGCACTCTACCACTGAGACACATTCCCAGCCCAATAGGCCACATTTAAACAGCAGGCAACTCCCTAGCTCTAAGGCCCACTCACCTCATGTTGCATTCTTATAACACTGTGACTACATTTGTGTCCACACATTTCTGTCTCCCCTACCAGCCCCTGAGGGCGGGTCCTCACTGAGGCCATGGAGACCAGCCTGTCGCTGTCTGGGGAAACCCGAGGACTCAGCATCTCTCCTCCACCTCAGAAAATCTAGAAATGGATCATTTTCCTGAATTGCCCTCACATTCCTTTAGCTTGTAGCCTATTCTGCATGAGTTTGGACAGGACCTGGCAGAATCTGCATTATTTACCTTGTGGAGGTCACCAGCCTAAGTCCAGAATTTGGAGGCTCTTTCTAAATGTTTGGCACTGGGGGCCAGTAGCTCACACCTGTAATCCCAGCTACTCAGGAGAACCAGATCTAAGAATCATGATTTGAAGACAGCCTGATCAGAAAAGTCCATGAGACTTTTATCTCCAATTAACCACCAGAAAAATCCAGAAGTGGAGCTGTGGCTCAAGTGGTAGAACATCAGCCTTGAGCGAAAAAGCTAGGGGATAGCACCCAGTCCCTGAGATCAAGCCCCAGTACCAGCAAGCAATCAATCAATCAAATCTATCGCATCTCACTGGGCATGGTGGTTCATATGTGTTATCCCAACAACTTGGATACAAAGGATCACAATGCCTAGACCATAACAAGACCTTGTCACCAAAAAACATAAAAGAAAGAAAAGAAAAAAGAAATATATATGTAGGAATATATTATATATTGTATATATGATACATACCATATATATGTATATATGTGTGTATACACACACACACACACACAGTGTCTCCCTCTCCATGTCTTGTCCATCTTCTAAGATCTCAGACAAGGTCCAGCGAGGGGTGTGGAGGTGACACTCACCCTGTGTTCTGTTCTGTCCAGGGGCACAGTCTGACTCAGCACGGAGCAAGATGCTGACTGGCGTTGGGGGCTTTGTGCTAGGGCTCATCTTCCTTACGGTGGGCACCATCATGCGTGTGAGGAGCAAGAAAGGTGAGAAACGCAACCAGGTGTCTTCCCTGATTTCCTCCCATCTCCGTGATAAAAGACTGCTTGAAAAGTACTATGATGCTGGCAAGTTCCAGCGATCACTGCAGATTTCCAGGCAGAGCAATGCTGGCCTCTAGGGAAAGAAGGATCCCCAGCTGGAGGATTCTGAGGTCTCCAGGCCCAGCCAGACGTGTCATCTAGAGATGCTCAGGCTCCTGGGGGGGTCTGTGCAATGCGGGCAGGGGGGATGGGTGGAAGTTTCTCTCATTATTGAAGATGATGGTTGAATATATTCTTTTTTTTTTATTTCAGCTCCACAAGCACCTAGATAAGTTGGTAAGCACCTTCATTTTTCTTGAAGAGCAGTTGTAGAGTTAAAGTGTCCTTTTTGTGTGTGTGCTGTGACTTCTGTGGCTTGAACTCGGGGCTTGGGTGCTGTCCCTTTTTTGCTCAAGGTTGGCACTCTATCACTTGAGTTACAGCTCCACTTCCAATTTTTTGGCATCTAACTAGAGGTGGGAAGGGCTTTCCTACTGGACTAGCTTTGAACACTGCAATCCTCAGATCTCATCTTCCTGGGTAGCTAGGATTAGAGGTGTGAGCCACCAGAGCCCAACCAGATAAGCTTTTTTGTTGTTGTTTTTGGTGGTGGTGGTGGTGGTGGTATGGTCATAAGGCCTGAACTCTGGGTCTGGGCGCTGTCCCTCAGCTCTTCAGCTCAAGGCTAGTGCTCTACCACTTGAGCCACAGCACCACTTCTGGCTTTTTCTGTTTATGTGGTGCTGAGGAATGGAACCCAGGGCCTCATGCATGCAAGGCAAACACTCTACCACTGAGCCACCTTCCCAGCCCCTAGATAAGCTTTTTGACAAGACTGAAACACAGGGTCTTGCCAGCCTAGGCTGACCTGAAACTTGTGATCTTCCTGCTTCCCAAATGCTGGGATTACAGGTGTGCACCACCGCACCTAAGACTCTGTCTTACAAAATCATTTCTTTTGGTAAGGGATTTAGAGCAAGAGGCATCAGTAATGTGGAATAACTTTGTTTTTAATCTCCACAGGGTTTCTGCTCTGAACTGAAAGACTAGATGTGCCTCAGAACAAGGATTTTTCTGTTTCTTTAGCCTCAGAGGCTGATTTGGGGAGGAAACCCCAGCTTCCTCAAGAAACGTTGCTGCCAGCCAAGTAATTGCTTTGAAACTAGCTTTTCTATTTTTACTCTTTGATTCAGTGCAATTTCTCTCCTGAGGCCTCTATATGCCCTTCTACTTAGCTCATTAAAGAATAAAATCCTTTTTCTTTTTGTTCTGGTCGTGGGACTTGAACTCTGGGCCTGTGTGCTGCCCCTCAACTCTTCAGCTCAAGGCGAACACTCTACCACTTTTTTTGGGGGGGGGGGTCCGGTCATGAGGCCTGAACTCTAGGCCTTGGGCACTGTCCCTCAGCTCTTCAGCTCAAGGCTAGCGCTCTACCACCTGAGCCACAGCACCACTTCCAGCTTTTTTCTTTTTGCTTATGTGGTGCTGAGGAATTGAACCCAAGGCCTCACGCATGCAAGGCAAGTGCTCTACCACTGAGCCACCTTCCCAGCCCCTGAACACTCTACCACTTGAGCTACAGTGCCACTTCCTGTTTTCTGGTGGCTTATTGGAGATAAGAGTCGCACAGAGTTTCGTCCCTGGGCTGGCTTTGAACCTCGATCTTCAGATCTCAGCCTCCTGAGTAGCTAGGATTACAGGCATGATCCACCAGCACTCAGCAAAATCCTATTTCTTAAAAAGAAAAGAATAAAAATTCAATATATTTGTCTATTTTCTTTTAAGAAGATGCACCAAATCTTATCTGCCATATCTTATCTTTTTTTGTTTTTTTGTTTTGGGGTTATTTTTGGTAAATAGAGCTAATGTAGAAGTTCCTTATCATTTACACATAGCAAGAACAACAACAACAACAAAAAGCTAGGATACCCTAATTATTGAATAAAGTGCGTGGGTGTGGCCCTCTCCTGACTTACTCACTGCTCCGGGCTGCCCCTGATCCTTGTCCCACCCAGGCCTGGGCATTGGTTATTCAGTGATGAACAGATTGCAAATCAGAGTTATCTGACCCACATTAACTGATTTTAACTTACAGATCTTACTAAGCTCAAGGGTTTTTTGTTTGTTTGTTTTTGTGCCAGTACTGGGGGCTTGAACTCAGGGCCTGAGCACCATCCAATAGCTTTTTTGCTACAGGCTGGCTCTCCACCACTTGAGCCACAGTCCTTCACTTCTGGTTGTGTGTGTGTGTGTGTGTGTGTGTGTGTGTGTGTGCGCGCGCGCGCGCGTGCACGTACCTGTGCGCGTGCTCATGGGCGTGCGCGTGTGTGCTTGGAGATAAGAGTCTTTCAGCTGAAGAGCTAAGGGACAGCACCCAGGCCCAAAGGCTATTCTAGTTTGCTAGAACAAAAAAAAAAAATGACAAAAGGAAAAAAAAAAAAAGAATGTACGTAAGAATAGGTAAAGTGGGGCTGGGAAGGTGGCTCAGTGGTAGAGCGCTTGCCTTGCATGCATGAGGCCCTGCGTTCAATTCCTCAGCACCACATAAGCAAAAAGAAAAAAAGCTAGAAGTGGTGCTGTGGCTCAAGTGTAGAGCGCTAGCCTTGAGCTGAAGAGCTGAGGGACAGTGCCCAGGCCCAGAGTTCAGGCCCCATGACCGGACCCAAAAAACAACAAAACAAAACAAAAGAATAGGTAAAGTGTGTGAGACCATGTGAGGGCATATTTGAATGTATAGTTTTCTTTTTTTTCGTCGGTCATGGGGCTTGAACTCTGGGCCTGGGTACTGTCTCTGAGCTCTTCAGCTCAAGGCAAGCGCTCTCTACCACTTGAGCCACAGCACCACTTCTGGTTTTCTGGAGGTCAATTGGAGATGAGTCTCATAGACTTTCCTGCCTGGCCTGGCTTTGAACCTCGATGCTCAGATCTCAGCCTCCTGAGTAGCTAGGATTACAGGCGTGAGCCACCATCACCTGGCTGAATGTGTAGTTTTCACACATTGGTATTTTACATTTCTGTGTGAAAGTGAGCAATGGTGTGTACATGTGTGTAACAGCATGTTTAAGTGTGTAGGACTGGCTTCAAACTGTGAATCTCAGATCTCAGCCTCCTAAGAAGCTATGATTGCAGGCTTGAGCCACCAGCCCCTCGCCTTTGGTGATTTTTGAAGAGTTCTTTGCTATTTCCAGGCACATAAAGGGATGAAAATATTTAACTACTTAATTTCTAATTATTCTTTTCACTTGTTCTCTATCCAAGAATGTGAGAACAATTTCTCCAAATCATTTCACATTAACGTGATTGTTTCTTTTTTTTTTCCTTTTTTTTGGGGGGGGTCCAGTCATGGGGCCTGAACTCTGGGCCTGGGCCACAGCGCCACTTCCGGCTTTTTTCTTTTTGCTTATGTGGTGCTGAGGAATCAAACCCAGGGCCTCAAGCATGCAAGGCAAGCGCTCTACCACCAAGCCAACTTCCCAGCCCATGAGCCAACTTCCCAGCCCAGACCACATTTATGCACAGGGCGAGGCAGTCACTGCGGAGAGGCAGGAAAGCCTCAAGATCTATTCCACAGCAAGGCAAACAGAACAACGGGGCCTTGTGACGCGCCCATTCGTTCAAAATGTGCATCCCTTCTTCATGTGGCTTCCAATACATGACAGTCCTTGCAGCGCCATGTGCTTTACTTCTCCCTCAGCAGTGATGCCACCCGCCGCTGGGTCTCTCTTTTTGAGAGATGTCCACGCCCACTGGATCCAGGGACTCTACTGGCTTGTATTCTCTGACAGTTGAAGATGGAGTCCCTGTGAGAGAAGCGATGGCCATGGCGATTCTCCCCACTCCCCGACCTTTCAAGCCTGCACAGGTCACTAGAGCTACCCGATGGTAGCTCTGATGGTGAAGCTGAGCTCCCATTGGCTCAGGGCAGGGACATGCCAGATATAGCTACTGCTTTTGGAGGGTTGGCTCATGGGAAAGTTACAGAGTGTTCTGTGTTGGTCTACACCCTAAGAAAGGCTTTGAGGGCTAGGAACGTGGCTCAGTGGTAGAGTGCTTGCCTAACATGATGAAGCCCTGGGTTCCATTCCTCAGTACCACATAAACAGAAAAAGCGAAAAGTGCTGTGACTCAAGAGGTAGAGTGCTAGCCTTGAGCAAAAGAAGCTCAGGGACAGTGTCTAGGCCATGAAAAAAGAAAGGCTTTGCAGCACAAATCACCCCGGAGCGTCTGTTTCCTACACAGAGAGGAAATCAGTGGGGCCCAATGATACCTAGTGGTCTTGAGTAGCACTGAAAGGACAGGATTCTTGGAGGGTCTTCAGCATTGGATTTCCATACCAATTTGAAACAAGCCAACTTTATTTGTATAGAAACAACTAGGATTCCAACATAAGCTTGCAGACTCAGTGCTCCAGGCAAAAGCTCTACCTCAGAACCAGCAGGAACCGCCATCCTATGTACCCTGAAAGCCAGAGGAGGAGGAAAGCAAGCTGTGGTTACAAGTCAGCAGGATCCTTCTTGCTGCTGATTGTCCCTCCTCCTCAGAACTACAGTACAATGCATAAAGACAGGACCAGAGAGGAACTGAAGTGATGGCCTCCTCGTGCTGCCCCCTTGTGGTTACTTTAAATATTGTGACTTCCCAGATTCCTGTATCCTCTCAGCACCTCTTATTTCCTAATTTCAATTGGTTTCCAAACCAAATGAAATAGAACAATGATGTTTATGGTAAATTCCACAACCTCTCTGTTGTCCAACCTAAAAATCAACCCCATTTTCCTAGAGATCTGATTCTTTCCTGCTTCTTCCCCAAATACCAGGGGAATAGCAGACTTAGCTGCCCAAACTCCATCTCGTTGACCCATTGTTCACATTGAAAGAAAGGGAAGCCTGACACTTATTGCTGCAGCGAGTAGAGAGACGTGATCAAGGCAGCCAGTGGACAGCTTGTTCCCATGGATGAGAGAGAGAGAAAATGGAGAAGCTTGCCAGCTACCTATGGCTCACACCTGTAAATCTAGCTACTCAGAAGGCTGAGATCTGAGGATCGTGGTTTGTAGCCAGCCCAAGCAGCGAAGTCTATGAGACTCTGATCTCCAATAAACTACCAAAAAAGAAGCTGGAAGTAGAGCTGTGGCTCAAGTGGTAAATGCTCGCCTTAAGCACAAAAGCTTAAAGACAGCACCCAGACCCTGCGTTCAAGCCCAGGACTTCCACATTTTCAGAAGGGGGGAAAAAAGCAGAGTGCTAGATGGTGGTAGAAGGAGTGGAGTAAAGCTGAGTGCTGGTGGCTCACGCCTGTAATCCTAGCTGCTCAAGAGGCTGAGATCTGAGGATCACAGCTCAAAGCCAGCCTGGGCAGGAAAGACCATATGTCTCTTATCTCCAGTTAGCCACCAGATAACCAGAAGTAGCACTGTGGCTCAAAGTGATAGAGTGCTAGCCTTGAGCAAAGAATTCAGGGACAGTGCCCAGGCCCTGAGTTCAAGCATCTGGGAAGGCAAGGAGAAGGAGGGGGAGGAAGGGAGGAGGGAGGAGGAGTTGTTGGTAAGATGCTTGATTAATGAGAAGAATGGGGTTAGGATTCAGTGTGTGAGAACCATTGATGGGGTAGAAGGAGGAACAGAGTTCACCACAACTTGGACAGCCAGAAGTTCATTGTTGCAGGACACATGGAGCCACTTGACTTGGAAAATATATTCCACCATTTCCTTCTTGCATCTCTAACTCCAAGAGGGGTTCTTCAACTCCTAACAGAGCAAAAATGGGAGCAAAAGGAAAGGGGGCTGGCTTTAAAGGGTCAAATTGCTGAAAAAGCCTTAGAGATCACTGGATCACAAGAAAATGGTGACCCCCAAAAAAACAACCAGGCTGGGTTTTGTCACTTGATAGACTGCTGGCCTTGCAAATAAGAGGCTCTCTGCTGGGTATAAGCTGTAGATGCAACAGGCCCCGCCCCCCACTGTCTTTCTCCCTCTCTTTCTTGCACACATGACTCAGTACTGACTCTTGAACTCAGGGCCTGAGCACTGTCCCTTAGCTTTTTCACTCCAAGCTAGTTCTTTACCACTTGAGCCAGAGCTCCTCTTTCAGCTTTTTGCTGATTAATTGAAGACAATGTCACAAACTTTCCTGCCCTGAATGGCTTCAATCCTCAGTCCTCAGATCTTGGCCTCCTGAGTAGCTAGGATTATAGGCATGAGCCACCGGTGCGAGGCTCAGGTTGCCTTTTGTATTTTTTAAACTATAAATCAAGGATGTCAAAAA